AAGGCATGCTTGATTTGTGCTCTTTTATACTTGAATGTATAAATATGTATATTTGTATACTTTAGATTACTCAGTTTTTATCTGTTGTTTTTTGAAAATGTTTTCAGATTGAAATCTTGCTTTTAAACAATATGTGCTGCTCTGATAAGTCTGATACTTTTGTGGCATTGGACTGAGTACATCAGTCAGCATGTTGCTTTCTTCTGTGGTCCCACAAGTGTCTTCAGAGGTGGTAATCCCAAAATTACAAGCATCTAATTTTTAACATTGTGCAGGTTACAAGCTAGTGATCCAATCATTTTTAGTTCACTTCTCCTGCTGAAAGTTTTAGCCACAGATTGGTCTGCAGTTTGTGTTGCATTCCTTCCTTGAGTTTTAGCCCTTGCTATACTGATTCTTCTTTGTATATGACTGAAAGGAGGCTGAAGTCAACAACCTAGTTTCTTTTAGCAATAAATCCATAAATAGCCAGCAGAGAGGCAGTAATGTACTGTTACTGTTTGGTCACAATAAACAGTCTCATGTTTTCTTTGTGCTGTAACCTGTGGCACACCTGTTATCTAATGGATATGAAGTGGGTGCCTTCTTGGAATGTATTTATTTTGAGTAGGAGGCAGAAAATCTTTTTGGACCAACATAACGCTTATGGAGACATATACAAGCCTGGAAATAACAGAAACAGAGGAAAATCTGGCCATCTAATGCAAATTAGTTATTAACGGTCTTCAGTGTACGTTCTCTCTCTGATAATTGGTAATTGCAAATTGCTTCATGCTTCATCCTGAGTCTCCACTCTTCAGCTAACTTAAGCTACTGTACGTGCCTACAGAGACCTTGTTGTGCTAATGTATAACTTCCTGTTCTTGAATAAGTATTAATGGGTGAAACATGCATTTCAGCTGCAGTCTGTCCATAGGAGTGGCCTTCATCAGCTGAAACTTTCTTTCACAGGAAACATATTTTCCTTTGTATATTAAAACCTCTGCAGTGCTATCACTGTCTATATGTACAGTACATGAGCTTTAAAGCATGAGGCATTTTCTGATGGGCTGCCTGACAATGACATTATAGCATGTCAATATAATACTGTATAAGATCACATTTTTACACAAAAGCCCCAAATTTACTAAATGTAATTTGCATTATATACCCATATATTCCTTTATTTGCAATATTTTGTTTATGGACATACTGGATGAAAATAGTGAGAAGCCCCATTCAAATGCATAGGTGTGGCTATCTTGAGGAACACAAGATAGACTGCCATCACCTTGTTCTGAACAGAATGATCTCCAGATCTCAATCCTACTGAAAGTGCCTTTATGGAAAAACAGGTGTCTGGTGTATCAAGATTTTTCATGACCTTATGGAAAATACATCATGCCCTATTCAAGCCATTTCTTGTGTTGAAAAAGGAGCAGCATGTTATGCAGTAGGAAGCCTAAAGGGTTTCTGCTTGTGCCTTTTGATTCATGTTTCACCCTAGGTTCTGAAGAAGTCCTCTGAGTTGAGGATTATGAATACGTTCGCACCCTAAACTAGAGTCATAGCAATAGACCAATAAACCACAACCTATCAATCATGTTAAAGGAAACCACACAAACCTGAAGAGCTCCACAGCTGAAAAGTTGTTTTTCTTTCTTTTTGCTATTTATAGAAATGCTATAAACTTCTACTTGTTCCTTTGAAGGAAACCATTCATGTTTTTTTTCCAATTTGTTTACCTTTTAGGACAAGCTTGTTTAAAATCAACTCTGAATGTGGGAATAGAAATTTAGATTCAGGCTGAGTTTACCTTAACATTAAAACAGTGCTTAAGAAATTGCACAGTTGATTTGCTTTTACACATCTGAATACTGATCAGTGCAAATCCAATAGAGTAAACCCACTGAGAGTCCCGAGGCAGGAGGCAGCTGGTTTCTGAGCAGTGGAGAGTTATTGCTTTGCTCTTTTGGGTTAGTAAAACTAAAAAAAAAAATGAAAATATGATATCCTATTGCTGAGTTTACAGAAAAATGAAGACACATGGAATGCTATGCAGTTTACTGTCATAAATGAATAAGGAGCTAAAATTTTGCAGAATTCAGACTAATTCATACATCTAAGGTGCCAGCAGTGATATTTTAGGAGCTGTATTAATGTTTAACAACAATATATTTATAAAACATCTTGCCTGAAAGTTTAATTTTCCACTCAAAAAGAGTCATGAATATAAAATAGTCACCACTTTCACAAGTAATCGGTTCTCTGTTATCTTCTGTAAGTCCCTGTAACACAGTGTATTAGACAAATAGCATAAGAGGTTGAACCTGATCTTTCTCACCACCTGACAGAACATGAATGCTTCAGCAGTTGAATCCTAATGGTCCAGCTGAAATACTGGGTTGGCTCAGGCTGGCCATTTAAAAAATGGCATGATATTTAAAAAATATATATTTATAAATATTCTGCTTTCAGTTGCTTGGCAGATGTCATTTATGTGCATAAGATGAACATCTGGTATAGTTGTTCAGGTGGGTAGCTGCGTCAGCATGCGTAGGCTACAAAGGAACAAGTAATAGGTTTATTCCATGCTGAAAAAAAGAAGAAAGAAAACACGTTTCAGCCGTGGAGCCTTCTTCAGGTGTGAGCTCACACCTGAAGAAGGCTCCACGGCCGAAATGTGTTTTCTTTCTCCTTTTTTTCAGCATGGAATAAACCTATATCTGGTATAGTTGGCGTCTGAGAATAATGGTTTAGTATGCATTAGTGTTTTCTTAATAATTGATAACACTGTATAATGTATTATAACAAATTAGTCTCTAGAAATCATTAGCAGAGCACTAAATGTTTATGCAATGTGAATGTTATTCAGATTGTATAAATACGGGAGTGTCAGAAGAGAAATATATGTGTATGCTTTTACTGAATTATTTGTCTTCTCAAGAACTAATTGTGGTCACAGTTAGAACAAAATAATACACTTTAGCAAAGCTCTTCAAACACAGAATAGGTGTTAGAGAAAAGAGTGTTTCCATGCTTAATCGGGTTCTGTATTTTATCTTTGCTTTGCTTTATGTTTCTTTTAATCAGGGATGCTACCAGTGTTAATAAGGAAGCTTCTCAGCTATGTACAGTATCATGAATGAATGGGTGTGGAAAATATTTTGAAAAGCAAGGCTCTTAGGAGATTTTGTTGTTGTTTTTTCCTTAGGAGGTTAGTTTGTGAATATGCCTTAAAATCAATTTCTTAATTGCTGTTAAGAAGTACATTGCACACACTTTAAAGTTGTGGTTTACCCCAAGGAACAGTTCAGCATGAAGTTTAGGGCGTGTTTGTTCTCTTCATTAAAAGAAATGAAAGAAGGAAGATGGGAAAAAAATCTCATGGATGGCACCCCAGGAATGTCAGTGTGAAGAAGTGTATGGAGTCTTTGTCTTTGGAGTCTGGAGAACAGTAGTTACAAAAGCACCTTATAGCCAGGTGTTAAGAGGTGTGCTAGAAGTAGCATACCACATGGACAAGGAGCATTACTAATAGACACCTGTACTCTTGTGGTTTTTGTGCAAAGGACCCTTCTTTATCTGTGTACAGAGCTTGTGGGTTTGTGGTCTCCACCTTCTGCGCAGTATCCAGTACACAGAGGCTGATCTGCCCGTTACATTATGCATTTTCATCCCAGGGGTTCTGTGTTCATTGACAGCTGGAAAATGAACATTTTTTCTGTTTTTCTTGTTGAATGAATGTGCAAGGTTTTTGGAAACATTGGTGTCTGGTTTCTCAAGATTGTTCAGTCAAACCTAAAGAAAGCCTTGGGGCTGAAACTCCAATACCCACCTCCAGTTCTTTTGATCTCTTAATACAGAGTTCAAAAAAGTGTATGATGTTCCTAATTAAAGGTTTTCCATAGCCCAGGGGCTAATTTGTCATATGGTTTTGAAAAATAAAAAATATAAAACCTTGCTAAAAATTCTGACTTAAAAACGTAAAATTAGCCTTTGATAAATTTCGTATCTTTGATTTGTGCTTTTCTTTGTTACACCTGTTTGTATTCTGTGCACATTTTAGAAGTGTAGTCTTACTGCCCTTTAAAATGCTTGTGATCACTTCAGTGATGTTCCTAAGCAGTAAGTAATTATCTCTGTGAGCCACACATGAAAGGTCAGCTCCATTGCTGTAACTGATGACAGGGTTGAAATGTAGAAAAAGCTTCCATACTAATTTGAAGCAGTTTATTTTTTACTTTATTTTTATAGATGTCTAATGATTTTTATACCTTTCAATTTGTGTTGCTGTAGAAAAATAAAAGTTTTGTATTTCCTTTGTTTGTAATTTCCAGTTATAATTACAACTACTGCTGGAAATAACACGCATAATATTGCTTATATTTAAAGAGTAGCACATCAGTCCTGTTTTTTATCCCACTTTCCAGTTTGAGTGCATTTAAAAATCTAAACTGACTCACAGATCATAGTTTTTTTATTTTAGTTTTTGTATATATCATTATTTAAGGACATGCTTTCTCCAAGACCTTTTTTAAAAAGCAACAGCAAGAATAAAACCTCTCTGATCATCAGAATTCCCAGGGCAAGCTACAACAAGAGACCTTAAGTGAATTTGTACTTACCAGTTTTCCCAGAGAAACATGTTTGATTCTGTAGGATGTCAGTCTGTGCTTATATGTACAAGTATTTTGTTGTTGTTTTTTTACAAAAAGAAGCTATTTTTAAACTGAATTTTAAAAGCACATTAAAAATAACTTAAAAGATTGAAGCTTTATGTGTTTATTTTCTTTCACATGAGATACACCTTAAAAATACACATATCTGCTCTTCAACCAGCTCTGTAGTTGCTAATCAGACCAGCTGCTTATACAGATGGAACCACAATGTTTCCATTAGTATAATGAGCAAGTCATTAACTTTTTCACATTAAGTGCATTTAGATTAATGCATCTGTTTTAAAGGTCTCAAAATGTTGGGTCAACTTACCATCTCTCATCTCCTGCTTTCTCTCTAAGGTATTGGAGGGATGGAGGAGTGGATATTGAAGTCAGCCACCATATCAACCTCTCCAGCCTGTCCTCCCTTCACCCCACTCAATTTTGAGGCCACGCCCATCGTCCGTGTAGCTGTGGAGCCCAAGCATCCAAGTAAGGCACCTCCCATTAATTCACCTTGTAAGTTTTCTCTTTGGACTCCTCTGTCAGAAGGGAATTTGGCACTACCACAGAATGGGCACTGTCGAGCGATGTGCCTCCTTTTGCCTTGTGGGCCCCACAGTGCTAGGCGCCAGTCTTAACAGTGTTACAAGGAGCGATGCAGCTTGTGCTGACAGCTCTGCAAGCACACCCATCTAGGAAGCCACAGGGGGTGCTGTAGTGGGGAAGAGTAACTAATTATAAATTCAAGTAGGCAGAAGGGTGAGGCATCTGAAGAAGGCTCCACAGCTGACATTTTGTGTTTCTTTTCTTCTCTTTTCAGCACAGAATAAACCTTTATTTGTTCCTAATTATACATTCTGTCCAGTATAGCGCCTTCCTCTCAATTCCAGGATTCCCCGGCCAACAGCTCAGGACCTCCCCTCCTGACCGTGCACGGCATGTTGCGTGCAGCCCTTGGTCGCAAGTCCTGGCTGTAGTCATAATCTCATTACCGAGCCTAGATTCTAAACCGTAATCTCCAGACAAGCACCTGCAGTGTCTGAGGCTCACGGAGCCCCAAGTGAGTTTGCTTTTATAATAAGAAATAATTCCTTTTAGTCTCTTCCTTTGTTTTGTTACAAGTGTCTGCAAGGCATATGTAGGTTGAACTAAAAAACGGACTGCAGGAAAGTTAATCTTAGCTGTGGCAGTCTGTTGAAGTGATTAGAATTATATGGTGTGACTTAATGGCTCCCCATTAGCATTGTAACATCTCCTCATATGGCGTTGTTAATACAGTGTGCCTATTAGGCAACAAAGAAGGACTGTGGACAGGAAAAACTGCATAGAGTTGATGAAGGAGCTGGCTTTTCTGATGTTTTTTCCTTTCTCCTAACATTGGGCTTCCTAAATGCTTCTCTTTTCACTGTCAGCGCCTGTCACTGGGTTTGCCTCCTATTCAGAAGAAACTCATGAGAATGGATGCATTTAATGGCAAACAGATCATTTTCTGTTTTTGTGGTTGTTCCTCTGTGTTTAACTCTTCAGAATCAACAGCAACAGAATTTGCTTCCTTATAGCTCTAGCCGACTAGGTGGGTTTAGTAGTCTTGACTTCAAAAGAGCAGTGCTTTGCCTTTCTACTTCAAAACTTGAAAATGTGTTGTAGAAGCAATGCACAGATTTGAATTTAGACTAAATTCAATAACAAACTCAATAGTTAGTGTTGTATTTCTTACTGACATACAATACTAGGAAACATCAAAACATTTAACAGTTTTAAAGGGCTTAACTATACAGTAATTGCTAATTAAGTTGTTTGTAGTGTTCCACTGTTCTACTTTATTTTTATTGAAAAATACCACTTTTTAAAAATGGTAAATGCATGCCAGTTCACCTGCATGTGTTGCATTTCCAGTTCAGCTCATTACATGGATAAAGATGCTGTGTTGAGGAAGGCTTGTATAAAGGATATTTGCTTTCAAACAAAAAAGTAGGAATTAAAGCCCTGCTTAGCCTAAGGCTCTGTGTAACCAGGAATAACACAGAAGAGCTAAATACACTACTTTCACTACTGCCCAGGTGAGATGCCAAAGCTGGTACGTGGAATGAAGCTACTTAACCAGGCTGACCCCTGCGCTGAGGTGCTCATCCAGGAGACTGGGGAGCATGTGCTGGTGACGGCAGGAGAGGTCCACCTGCAGCGCTGCTTGGATGACCTGAGACAGAGGTGAGTACAGGGCATCAGGGCTGCCAACCCCCCCAGGACACTGCTTTCTCTAAGGAAGAACACAGGACAGCAGGGCTGCCAACCACCCCAGGGCACTGCTTTCTCTTGGGAAGCACACAGGACAGCAGGTCTGCCAACCCCCCCAGGCCTCTCTTTCCATGTAGACAGCACACTGGGAACCATGGCTGCCAACCCCCCAGGGCACTGCTTTCATTTGGGAAGGAATCAGGGCATCAGGGCTGCCAACCGCACCACACCACTTCCTTCAAAACATGTTAACAGGTTCAAAACTGTGATTTATCTCATAGTAAAGTCAACTACTTATTACAGCTAACCTTTATATTCATGTCGAGCCATACATTTGTATCTCACCAGTTATAAAAACAACTCTGTGCATATTTGGAAATCTCCTTTGTACAAATCATACTAAATATGAATGATTTATACTAAGTATGAATGAATTAATGCCTGAAAAGGCATGTTTTCTAAACATTCTTCATATTTTTTGGCTGTGCCAGCTTCAGAAATAGACCAATGAACAAATAGTGAACTGAGCATTAATAATAATGACAAAATATGCACGTGTTTTGAATTTCCAAAACACTAGCCAGCCGGTCTCAATCTTTGTGACCACAAGGAGAACCATTTCATTTGTCTTCAATGGTACCTTATCATATGATAAATATGTGCATCATATATGCAGTTCATATTGACCGGAACCCTTGTCTTGATGTTTCCCCTCTGATAAGGTCATGCAAGGAGAAATAAACATTCAGGTAAGATAAATTTCACAGTGAGAGCTTTAATGCATTCTTGTCTCCTCTCAGGTTATAATTGGCCTACACATAAAATAAACAATTTGTCTGAGCCAAAGGCTTTCTGACACCTAGCATTTGATTTGTCATAAGAAAGGCAAGGCACCCATCACAGGCTTCATTTTTTCAAACGTTGTTTGGCAGTTCTCATGCAACGCTCTTAAGAAGAAGCAATTCAAAAGTGAGCAGGACTCACACAGAGCATTCTCTGTTCATACAATGAATGCAGGAGTTTGTCCTTCCACACAATCCATATCCCACTCCCATTGCCCCAAGACTTACTCGAGTGTTGGAGTTTCTGATAAATGCCTAAAAGGTTTTCAAGTTTTGGTGATTCCTTGATGACAGTTTTTGATATATGTGTTCATGAAACAAAAGTATTCTCTTCCATGGCATTAAAGAACAGCTGTGCCTCAGACAGAAATGTAAAATAATTGAAGCAGCTTCTTCTTTGCCAATAAGCCCAGCAGGCCTTTATTTAATCTTTAGCACTGTGTTATTAGCTTGCTGAATAAGAGTTCACGGAAGATGTGACTAAATGAACACTAATTGGTAGTATCTACATTCCCCTACCTTGTTTACTCAAGGTAAAACTAAAAACTGGTAAAAAAAAAGCACCTTGTCTTGTTCATGTCTCAGCAAGTTACATACTATATATCTTGCTCATTTTTCTATATTTCTTTTAAGTGTAGGTGTGATTTGTAAAATAAATGTCTGAAGACATTCTTGTAATCCAAGTAGGATTTGTCATAGCTGTAGATTTATGGAAAAGCCCATAGGTTTGATCAGTTCCTGAGTACATCTGCAGCTGGAATGCAGTGGTTTACTTAAAGGTTAGAAACCAAATGGAAGACTTGCAATAAATGCCTTACTGACCTTTTGTGTGAATTGTGTGGGAAAAGTCATGCATTCATGCACTTTGGAACTCCAGCTCCATTTTTTCATTAAAAAATTAGGATACTTACAAATACCTCCATTAATAAGACCCAAAGCACAGAACATTGAACACAGCAACGTACTGTACATAACAGTCACCTGAGTACTCATGAGAACTAGGAGAACATTTTATCAAGCTTGTCTCATTGTATCCAACTTAAAGGGATCGTAAATGTGAAAGAAATTCATTTAAATTTACCAACATCGTGGACTGAAAGGGTCTTGCACACCTGTCCAGCAATCTTCAGGACAGCACTTAACATCTTTACATACTGTACAAAAGTTAGTCCTCATCAAAGGTACAGTGATCTTGCAACACCTGATGAAATGTTTGTAATCCACAAACTATAATGTTGAGAGGAGACTGTGATGATTGCATTTAGAAAATGTACAATTTTACAGTTCCTTTCCTTCAGTAATGTGCGAATTAACATGCCTCTTCACAAACAAACAGGGTTACTTTCTTAAACCCATTACAGGTGATGTTTTAAAACAAGTCATGATAAAGGCACAAGTCACAGCTTAGATAGGTGTGTGTTTTTCCTGTTTTTATTGAGGCCTTGAAGACATGTAAACTTAAACTGATAAGTAACATTTTTCTCATTTGTAGTTCTAGCTGTTAGGTAATACAATTATTTATGTTTTTGTAAATTAAGAAGAGTTTGTTAAAGTTGTTCCAGTCAAATACCCATCTGTATAAATGACAAATGTAAGTAGCCTTGAGTAAAAGTGTCAGACAAATAAATTACTAATTAGCTAGTAACAGGTTTTGACTTCCACTATGAAGTGTCAGGGTTTAACAGGCTGATGCTTTTCATAGCTGATCGGTTTGTGCTGGCTGGATTGTCAATATAACAACAGTCCTTGAGCCTAGGCTAAAGTAAATCCAACTGCAGTTTTGTATGAGTGACAGTGGATCTACAAGACCTCTTCTCAGCTAAAAAAAATTGTGTAGAAATGCTGTGCAATACCATTTAAGATTTGCAATTCAGTATTGGCTTGAAGTTCATATTAAAACAGAGCTTACAAAAGTTAGTAAATTAAGCATAAGAACACAATCACCAGTCTGTTAGCTATCTATCTAAAAAACAGATGCACTCTTTAGAGTTTTGAAGATTGAATAAATGTTGGCCTCATGTTGTTCCACTGATTATTAATGACCGATCATGATATACTCAAGTGAATTTGACTATCGCAGAAGCCCTAAACCACCTTATTAGTGAGACAGTTGTTTGGACACAGGTGTTAAAGTGATTTAGCCTGTTGAAATGTCAAGCCTGGTGAAAATCAAGAAAAACAAAAAGAAAGCAATACAGTATGTCCCACTTATTATAAGAGCAGCACCTGCAAACCATCGGTATTTTGAAGACTAGGCTAAATCAGCACAGTGTGTTTGCTCTCTAGGTAGTTCACAGCCAGCCAATTCTAATCTGCAAGACATGACAGCCAAATAGAGTCCATTAATGGCAAACCTCAGTCGGGGAGATCAGAAGTCACAGCACCTTGCCAAGACCAATGGGGAGGTCTGTGTCAGATGGTCTAGGCGAGGGTGTCTAGTTTAATTCATGTTTAATACTTTTATCCATTTAACAATTGCAAACTACACAACCCAAATTTAAAATAGTTGTTACAAAACTCCACTTGTAGTGACTGATTTCAATCTGACTGGTGATATTGGGATATGCTGCCCTCTTTACAGGCTCATCTCGATATAACAACAGTCCAGCAGGGTAATGCACATCCTCATCATCCTTATGAAATAGATGCTGTCTTGCTAGATGAGAATGAGATGGTTCTACTGTGGATGCTCCTTGCCAGACTTGATCCAAAACATGATTACAGAAAGCAACTACCAGCTGCAAAACCAACAGTCATTGAGGAGCAAGAAATTAAAATTGTCAATAGTTACAAGTATCCTGACACTATAATTGATTATAGACTACCCTTTGATGAAAACGTGAATTCCATGTGTAAGAAGAGCCAACAGCAATTGTTCTTCCTAAGAAGATTTCACTCTTTTAATGTGTGTACTACAAGGCATGAAAGGAATGGGGCACAAACCCACAAAACAGTATCTGCAGCCTCATGGAAAGCATGTGTTGCAGATGAACAGCTTGTATTGCTTTTCAGTAGTGGCCACACAAGAGCCTCCTGCTATGTAGACTTCCTGCTGGTCAACCCTGTTGATGACAGATTTTAATCAGCATAATCAGTATTAATTAATTTCTGTTGTATCAAATGTCCATACAAATGATAAACAAAAATGTGAATTTGTGAATTTATTGCAGTTCTTGTCTTTCAAGTAATAAGTGTCTTCTCATGCTCCATATATCGGGGTGAGCACTCGCTCATTGCTGATGCTCAGAATACAGGTTTGTCGAGATGTTTGCAGAGGTGTGTGCAATAACAGGATCTGTCTCTTTTACGTTACACCCACAGGGCCTTGTTGATTCTTAAAACTAATCCGGAAAGTTAAAGTGCCTGTCTTTTCCTGCTTTTCTTAAGTGCATAGAGCAGGTTGAAAGTTCAGAATTTGGAAAATTGGTGAGGTTGGACTGGACAGAGATGAAAGGGAACATGAGGAGAACCTAACTTGTCTGGGTTACTCAAGTCTGTGCAGTGTACCAGACTGCTCTGAAGTCAGAACAATTTCCTTTGGCAGGGCACTGCAAAAATGGAAAGAAAAATCTTAAAGGGCTCATTATTAATCAAATAAGCCTGTGTTTTTAAATTAGTCTTTGTTTTTTTACTAAAAAAACCCAAGTCTTTGTTGTTTTACTAAAAATTAATTTATTTATGAAAGCAAAAAGTCATCTTAGAAATCAGTTGTAATATAACCATAAGAATCAAGCACTTTGAAAGCCTCATCATGAGCTTCTCCCTTCCAGTAGATATCACTTTGTATCGCAGATTTACAAGGGCTCTTTTATGAGATGGGTTTGTCCCAGGAGAGAAAAGGAGATGAGTTTCCATTACATGCCTTATTGTCAGTGAGGCAGAGAAGTGTGGTATATCTGTACTTGATGCAGTGATGCCCACTCTTGCAATTATTTGTTGTTAAAAATAAAATTTACTTTTTATGTAGATGTTCTGCTGTTCACCTTAGGGCTTTGCTGCTGAAGCTAGATGGCAATGGCAGGCAAAACATCCTGGCTTTAGCTATTTTTTCTTTCATTCCTCTGAGGTTTTGATTGTTATTGATTGACAACTACAATTTTGCTGAGACAGTTGTTTCTCATTACATAGAGGAGCAGTTAAACACCAGTCATGTAAGACGCAAGGTGATCAGTCTTTGCCTTAACTTGGAACTAAAAGGAAAGTTTAGTAAAAAAAATCTGCTGAACTGAAAGAACAAGCCTGGGTTTGTTCTCCCCTCAGATGTACTCTGTTTAAATAATTATTGTCCTCTTGTAGCTACTGCAGTACTTCCCCCAGCAGTGAGTGACATCCCCTGTGAATATTTACAAAAATGTGGAAATGGGAATGAGCTGTGTTCTATGGAATTGGTTTTCTTTTTCGTTCTGTCCTTGTAGCAGACAGACCACAAAAGAATATGTGTAAGAATATACATTTGATAGCCAATCCATTTCAGCCCTCAAATAAGCTGAGAACTACAATAAGTTAGAATACTAACTAAATAAATTGAGGAAATACTGTAAGTTAGAATGCTAAATAAACTGAGAAAATACAGTAAGTTAGAATACTCAAGGCTCTTGTGTGTGGAATAGTTGTTCTTTCTAGCATTCAAGATCCTCATGTAGCTCTGAATAAGTCACTGTGTGACCTGCATTGTCTCCTGCTGGGCTCTGCTAACAGCTAATGCTGTTTGGCAGAGAGTGGAAGCTTCACAATGGACCCTGAGGATAAATGAAATCCAGGAAGACGATGCATCACCAAGTTGACATTTGTCCCACAACTGACAGATGGGGGCAGGAGGGCAAATTGAAGATCTTAAGATGTAGAGGTCAGTGTATTACTGGCGCTAACTTGCCAGCTAAATGAACTCATGTCTAGGAAGAGCATATAAATATCACAAGGGGGAATGGCGCGTGGGTGCTGCTGAGCTGCACACAGTGATGCTCAGCAGACCCGTCTGCTAACTAGTTTCGCCTGAGGCAGTTTACAGTCATCGCCCGGAAAGAGGTCAGCCTGTCCCTGACATCACAGGGGTTGTGACTGTCCGCTGACAGGTCCTGGGACCCTCAGCTAACTTTTTATTCTTGTTTCGAGGTGTGCTCCTTATGCGTTTAGAAGCAGTGTAAAAGGTGCCGTAAAAGAGCAAGAAAATTCTGAGCACCATTGACATCACACATCCAGTGGTTACAAAACATTAGTTCAGATAGTAGCTGTTCTTCCTATGACTTGAGTCAAAAGAATTTTCTTCATGGCTCTAAAAACAGGTGTTCATTTCTAATATAATTTTGAGTTATTTGGAAAAAATAATAACAGTATCTGTTCCATTACCATTGTAAAAATACACATTGAATCGTCAGCATTGGATACAGAATTCACCGGCGTACCCATCAGTAACGGAATAACCTAATTTTTTTACCCTGAGACTCCTTATTTTCCATCTAATAGTTCTGTGAGAAAGATTGTATCTTAATCTGCGGTGGAAAATTATTTTCTTTTGGTTCCTACTTTCCTACTTAATTTAAGAATAAATTGGTACTTAGCTAGGAAATGGGTCTTTTCGAATTTAATTTGAGCCAATCATTGATAAAATGTTGAACATTTTCTAATTCTATTATTGGGAAACTCCACATATATTAGTGTGTTCACATTTATTTGACATAACAAAATGGTCAGTGTGTTTTCAGTGCCTTTTTGAGTCGGTACCTCTGCAATATTAAGGTCTTCTGAACTTCTTTTTGCAATAATTATTTTATATATCAAACAGTGTTAGCAAAAACTCACACAATCATTAAGGGAAGGATTAACCCTTTTCCCACCTGTTATAAGACTGTCTGAGTCTAAATGGATTACAGAAAGCCTTCTTTAGACTTGTTGTAAACTGGCCACCATTCTGCCCTCTACCATCTGCTCTGGTCTTCTGTGCTTGCTAGTTAGGAGGCATGAATTGTAGCAGTAAATGTGACCAAGGCAGATTACAGATACTGTTGTCCTCTCATAAACCTGTACAAGAGTCAATTTGTCCTGCGTACTGTATGTGTTGTGTGTGTTTATATATATGGGAGGATGTGAATATTAATCAGCTCTTACTATTTCACAGTGCTGGGAGGCATCTTGAAGGACTATGAATTCCATTTTGTGACTTTTAGTTTATATACACAAAGCAAACTTCACTGATATAATTAATCCAACAGCTTATTTTTAAAGCTTTGAAGAGTGTTTCTCTTAAAGCACATTTCTACATGTGATTCACTAGTCAGTTAGCTGTCTCACTGATGACCCCCAGTAAGGGGCTGTCTGTGGCTGCTGACATATGTACTTTTTCATATTTTAGTAGGATTAGCAGTCTATTTAGAAGGTACTGCTTTTCAGCATTTTGAAATGGTAAAATCTGATTAATATTAACCTTCCCATAATATACTGAGAGACATTAAAAGCACAACAAATGCTATTGATTTCAATACACATTATTTGCATTTTTAATGCTTCTCATTATAAGTAGTGCATATACACAAACAAGCATGTATTGTTGCATTACAACTTTGTTCTGTGCTTTTAATAAATGTGTGGTCATTCTGCCCTTTTAAGTTTGAAGAAATGCCTTCCTAGAGTACAATATGTACAATATGCATTTTTAATTTGAATTTCTGTAAAGAGCTGTGGGGCTCAGTGAATGATTTAAGTCCAGGCTAAAGAGAGGGCTTAGATATTTTTTTATTTGCTCAAAGCTATTATGTATAGCAAGCAGAAATGTGTTTTTCCCATTCATGTGAATAATGTAAAGCAGCTTCTTTGGTATGGCATGTGTTGCAGTTCTAAAAACTGCAAGCATTAATTTTTGCTCTGTTGAAATAGAGGAAAGTAAAATATCCTTGTTGATGAGATTTAGAAAAAGGTAGATATCGATTAACAAATATGTCAGGCTGCTGTAATGAATCCAAATAAAACATAAATTGTGGTATTTTAAGTTTTCAACAGGATTTTGATCACTTTCCTTCATGACAGATTATTTTTTAGATGCTCACATGGGGCTGATTTAGAAAGCAGTAGCTCTGGGATCTGCACTGGTACCACCGCCCTTCCTAATTTATATCAATGATTACGGTCTGGTGCATTTAAGAAACTACTCAAGTTTACAAATGTCAAACTAGCTTTGCAAAGACTGTACACAGTACAAAAGAAGACCAGATTTAGGACTCACAAACACCTAGCAGATGACATGTTGTCAAGTTCTGGGTGTTGCATGCAGGTAGTAAAAACCGCAATCTGTAACTGTAAAATGGAAAACTTTAGTTTAGAAGCTTTAGAAAACATATTTTAATCTAGACATATCATTTTCATCTTCTAGCCACCACAAGGAAGCAATTAAAAGGGCAAACAAAAATTTTGGATTGTAATTGAAATCAAGGGATGTTGTTATGTTAAAACTGTATAATGTGCTGGTAAGACATACTTTAGAATATTATGTGTGCAATTTTCATCACATATATTGCTGTTCTGGAATCATTTCAGAGAAGAGCAACCAGATACATTCCCTAATGGAATGTCCTTCACAGGGAAAAAGAACTGAATCTTTTTATTCTTGAACAGAGAAGACTACGAGAGGATATGTTTAATGTATTCATATGCTCAAGGCTTTGATAAAAGTCAACCCAGTGGTTGAATTTTTTTCAGAATTAACACAGACCAGAGGACATTTTGTGGAAATTATGGGCAGGCTCATTAAAAAAGGAAATACTTCTTTACACAAAGGTTTGTGGGAGTATGAACCAAGCTGCCCCCCCATTTTTAGGCTGATTTTTTATATCGGCTTTCAAGAAACTGCTGGATGAAGTGCTTGGATTTATTAGCTACTGAAAAAATGAGCTAGATTGGCACAGTGCCCTCTCTTTTGTAGCTGTTCTCATGAAAACAAAACTTGATTCACAAATCTACTTTTTATTTTTTTTTTTCATTCAGGTTTGCCAAGATAGAAATCGGTGTATCTGAACCCATCATCCCATTTAAAGAGACTGTCATCCGCCCTCCGAAGGTAGACATGGTGAATGAAGACATTGGGAAGCAGCAGAAGGTAGCTGTGATACACCAGGTGAGAGAGGAGCAGTTAAAGTATCCCGAAGGCATCCAGGTCGATTCTAACGGGCTGGTCACACTCACTACTTCCAACAAGCTGGCTACCATCGGGGTCAGGGCCATGCCACTGCCAGAAGAAGTCACCCATCTACTGGAGCAGAGCAGCGACCTCATCCGCACAATGGAGCACTTCAACTTATCCGTGAAGGAGGGCAAGAAAGCCCTTGAGATCAATCCGAAAATGCTGGAGTCTATTCATGACTTCAAGGAGAAGCTGGAGTCTCTGTTACAAGGACGGAAATGGAGGAATGCTGTCAACCACATTTGGACATTTGGGCCTCGGCGATGTGGCCCTAATATTTTACTCAATAACCTGGAAGGCTACCAGCGTCCCTCAGTGTGGCAGTGTCTAGACACAGAGAGGGTGGAGGCTGGGCAGTACCGTGATTTGGACAACAGCATAGTCAGTGGGTTCCAGCTGGCCACACTTTCAGGGCCCATGTGTGAGGAGCCTCTGATGGGAGTTTGCTTTTCTGTGGAGTTGTGGGACATGAAAGCCCCGCAGGTCCCTGCCGCGGCGCCCCCACCTGCACAAGCAGCCCCCAAGGCCGACAGCCCCGGCCCCGCTCCTCACACCGCCGGCGAGGAAGCTCTGGGGCTGCAAGCCCAGCTCGCTGCGCCGCCCAGCAAACGCAGAAGTGAAGCGGCCGTCCCTGACTGCTACGGGCCGTTCTCGGGGCAGCTCATAGCAGCCATGAAGGAAGCCTGTCGATATGCCTTCCAGGCAAAACCCCAGCGCCTCATGGCCGCGATGTACACCTGTGAAATCATGGCCACCGCAGACGTACTAGGTAAGATGGAAAAAAATATTGACAAAAAAAACCCCGGAATAATTCCCAGGGCAGCTGTAAATTCTGTTTTTAATGCTTTTGCCAGTAAATGCTTTTTTTCTCTCCGGTTACAAGGCTGAAAAATGATTTAGTGCATACACAGGAAATAGTTTTCGCTGTTCCTAATGGGAAGCTGCTGTGAAACACCAGTGTTCAAATGCAGTGATGTCATACTGCAGAGCTCTGAAACAATGGGCAATTGTCTCCTGAACATGCTTACTGTGACTTATATGAATCAATTTGCAGGGGTAACTGAATCCTACCCCATGAGAGCAGAAATAACCTCTCATAAAACAGAATCTGCAGAGAATCGGACTGAGGTTTTAGTAGACGGCCATGAAGCAGAAAGATTGCATTAATGTTTCAATCGGCATTAATCACAAGCAAGATATTGTGATTATTATTTTTCATTTGCCACCAACAAAAATATCTGCACTCGAGTGGACTTCACCTGGAAGGCTCACAGACTGTTATTGCTGCTTTAAATATCCTAGAAATTAAGACAAGCATTTGCAACAAGAATGATGCTGAAGCCCATTTCCAGGCTGTTTTTTTATTCAAATATGGATGCACAGAGTTTGACCATTGTCTGTTTCCAGGAGCTCCGTCAGTAATCAGTAGATTGTAGCATGGTGAGGGTTCAGTGATTTATTTTTAGAAATGTTGTTATATATTGTGTGCGCTGGATGGAAATACTGCCATTTTGAATAACCACAATGTCTATTTATAGAAACCTTTTTTAAAAGGTTTATGCTCACAAAGGTCCCATTGATACTTTACAAGTAGAATGCAAATATTTCTTCCATTAAAACTGACGAGACCTTGTTCTTATTACGGCTAATGATTATACATGTTTTTTAAAAATCTAATACTCAGCATAGTTTACAATGTAGTTGTTTTCCCTTTGACAGTCGGTAATTAAATACAGACAGTACCTTAAAAAGTATCTGTTAAAAACATCTGTACACAGTGTTGTAAAAAATACAGTCACAGTAAAGCAGAACAAAGCTTGAGTTTTGAAAGCTCTTCAGTGGTGTTTTTCTAGAGGCAAGGGTCTCCTGCATCTCTGAAGTATGTAAAAGAGTCACTCATTGACTGTAAAGTGTTGTAAGCAGTTAACACAATAACAACTTGCTAAAACTTAGCAGAAACAGCTGTCTTCAGGCTCACAGAGGCTGTTTCTAGGTAAGGGTGAAAGCAGTGGTGACAGTTATCACAGCTTGTCAGAAGTCATTATTCCAGGTTATTGCATTGCTGGCAGCCTGTTGTTCATAAGGACCCAAGTGTTCAGCTTTTTTTTTCTTTTTAACATTTGTACAGATTATCACGTACGCGTGCGCTGGTTCTCACAATGTCATGTCAGCACTGGCCTCTTTCTCACACAAGGACGGCAGTTTTCCTGATGAGCTCCTGTGCTTCCTAGGTCGCGTCTACGGCGTCCTGTCCAAGAGAGAAGGCCGCGTGCTGCTGGAGGAGATGAAGGAAGGCACAGACATGTTCATCATCAAGGCCATCCTCCCGGTCGCGGAGAGCTTCGGCTTTGCCGATGAGATCCGGAAACGGACGAGCGGCTTGGCCAGTCCCCAGCTGGTGTTTAGCCACTGGGAGGTGAGTGTGCTGGCTGACCGGGGAAAACCCTAGCTGTCTTTCTGGCTTGTTCCGGAAACTGGTATGTGTACTGCAGTGCTTGCGCTTCATTGTCATTTTGGTAAAAAAGGGAATTTCATGTGCATTTTTTGCCCGGTTGTGGATGTAAACCAGTTCAGTGCAACTAGAAATATTGATAATTCAGTGCTAGAACAGACATTAAAAACAAGCTGGCTGCTTGTGATTTAAAATCACTGAAAACAAGCTAAAAAACTTGCTTCTTGAAAGAAAGAACCTGCCAAAAAATACATTTTTAGAATTAAGATAATCCTCGAAAATCCTAAAAAAGGAAAGTTTTTGATAATCTTCCATCATTACAGAGCATTTCTTTTTCTGTGCCATGCACACAGCAAGAGCGGTGTGGGTGTGAGGGTTGCATGATGGTTTTCTGCAGGGGAATCAGCAGGTTGGAGCCTACCCCTGGGTCTGTGTCACTAAACACTAATGAAAGAATTTCAACAGGACTCTCCCTGCTTGATTAAAACATAGTGCTAAACAATTTACAATCTAATCCTATGTTTACGCCAAGAATTTAAAATGATGATGAACATCATAACTTCTGTCAAGACAAGTTCTTTATTGATTTTGTTTTTCACTCAAAGAAGAAATTCTGTTCCATTCTATTGATCTTTCTTTATTGGTATATTTTTCTGCATCTACTTTCATTTGGATCAGTTGCGTGTACATACACAGCATGAATTTATGCTGAGCGCACACATGTCCAAAGTATATGTTTTCACGGTACGTGTTGCACTTTGCTGTTTTCTTGGGTGTGTGCCTAAGGCCCCTAATTAGCAGAAGCCAGAGGAAGCACACGCTGTTAACAGCCGAATACGCACACTGGCCCACATCGACCAAAGGCAGATTGCCCCCAGCCAAGACGTTTCTGAATTAAACATGATTCAAGGTCAGTGTGGGGATTCAGGCTTGTAATTAGATAGTCTCCACCAGGGTTAGAGAGGATCAGAGCTCCAAGAGAGCACATGTGCCAAGGAATTATACCTGCGTCTGTCTCTGCCATCCAAGCTGGACACAGTCCCTGCCATATGTTCCCAGTGTCACTCTGGGTAACAGGTCACTCTGTCTGCACTGGCTACAGAAAGGAAGACAAAATCAACCTTGATGGATATGTACAGACCCTTAAATTGCATGCTCCTTTTAGTAGTGTTCGTTGTGTTTTATGTGTGTGAACACACCTTTCTTGAAATACAAAATGGTCTATGTATGCTGTTTAGTTTATAGCCTTAGTCTACAATGGAATGAAAAATTAGCTTTGACACAAGTGTCCAGCGTAATTTATCTCAAACCTCTGGTATCTGCAAATGGTAGGTCACAACTGTAATTATTTTTCAACGCTTGCAGATGCTGTTAAAATGAGATGCCTCAACTTAAAACTGAAGTCCCACTCCCACATGAATAGATTAGTAATATGTAAATATCAATCAAAACACAGTAAAAAAAAAAGATGACTTTTTTAAAATCACTGTTGGTGGCTTGTGTATACAGTAGAAAAATGTAATCAAAATATTTATTGAATAAAAAATACATTGCCTGGTAGAAGCACCCAAGAATTCACATTATAATCTAACTCATATGGAAATCCGTCAGCCCCCTGACTGAATGATTAACTCCTCTCTCCTAAAATCTGTATACATAAGTCATAAAGAGAAATTTAATCTGCTGCTGTTTTTGAAGTCAAAACTTGGAACACCGCATTACTGTGCTGTTCACTGCTGATAAACTCAAGGGATCAGCTTTTAGCAACATGTTAAGCCTATATGTAAAGAATAAGATTTTACAGGTAAAGAACACGTATTTTGTAACTTTAAATACCCCAAGATTAACACTAGATTTTCTCCCTTTAATGACAATAATTTTACAAGGCATTTTAAAAAGCAGTGAATGCTGTGCATTTCTTTCTGTTTGCTGCAAGCAGATTCTCTGAGAATCATTCTTGTTCATTCCCTGAGAGGACTGGCTCTGCTGGTAGAGAGCAAGCATACCTCTTAAAGGTTACTAGCATTCCTGCCTATCTGCTAAAATTACTCAGTAGAAATGGACAACATAAACGTTCTGTGCCTTTCTCCAAACCAGAATAATGGTAATAAATATCAGAAGAAGTAGTTCAGGTGGGTAGCTGCATCAGCATACGTAGGCTGCAAAGGAACAAGTAATAGTTTTTTTCTGTGCTGAAAAGAGAAGAATGAAAACACAACATTTTGGGTGTGGAGCCTTCCACCTGAAGTAGCTCACACCTGGAGAAGCCTCCACGCCCATAAGGTTGTGTTTTCTTTCTTTTCTTCTCAGCATGGAATAAACCTATTACTTGTTCCATAAATATAGGAATATATTTGCCCTTTTCATTTCACTATTGGATACGATACGACAGTCCTGTCCATAGTCCCTCTCTTCAGCTCTCCATTTCCATGTTACTCTTGCCAAGAGGCACAGTGTATGTTTCATGACATGACTTAAGAAAGGTAAAGAATGGAAGGGGGCCATTCAGACTTCTTGAGTGTAATCCCTCCCCTGCTGTAGTTCAGCCTATCCAGAACTGCTGTGGTTACCTGTCACCCCTCTAAATGCTGTGCTGGAAAAGTAGAAATCCGGAGCAGTGTGGAAGGTGTGGAGGCCTCGCAGACATAAGGAGAGTGCAGTCGGACAGCCCTCCTGCAGAGCCTGGCCTGCACCTGCTCTGGGAACAATAGATTCCTTCAGAGGACCGCTGGACTCTCATCTGTCACGAACATCTCATTCAGTATCCTGAGTGGGGGGTGGAAAACAGTGTGACTGAGGGGATTATAAAGCACTCACAAAAGAGAAAAACCACAAGCTTGAATAATGCTGACTCATTCTCGTTGAAATCGCTTTGGTCTTTTTCCTAACAATCCAGTTTTTGATGCTGTTTATGTGGTGCTAAAAAAAAGTAAAAAATTATATTGAGGAGTTAATAGAGGGGTGGCAGCTGCACTCTGAAGTGCTGAGACTTTCCCTGCCAGAAACCCCCACTTGAAAACTGGTGTGTTTTAGATTCTGCACAGATGAACACTGTTACTGTATGTTCAGATTTGTAGCTCTAGCATACCTTGTATAAAGGATAAGACAATTAATATCATCCAAACCAGATAAGCAATGTCATTATATGTATTATTATTGTGAAAATCCATCCATCCGTTATGTAACTGCTTCTTCCCCTGGATGGGACACCAGTCCATCACAGGGAACACAGCTACAAACACAGACATGCGCACACACTCACACCAGGGCCTGTTTTTCCAAAAGGCTATTGACCTACCAGTTTTTGGACTGGAGCACCTGGAGGAAACCCATGTTAATACAGGGAGAGCATGCAAACTCCACACAGATAGCAATTTAACACAGATACCCAGCACTGTGAGGCGGCAATGCTAACCACTGTGCCACCATGCATCCTATCGTAATAATATTTTGCCATAAAATAGTTTTTACACCTCCAACAAAGACTATAGGGAAACCCTCTCAAGGCTTTTGTACATTAAAAGTACAGTCCTATTGTAGTCTGTTCAGGAATTCATTTTGATTTATTGCTGCCTAGGCTCAGTGAATGTGATTTTTTTTTTCCCCCAAAATCTTTACTTAATCTAGCAAGACAAGAAAAGGATTGCGTAAAAAATGTATCTTGACCTGGAGGTATAGGTTATTGCAGATTTGCACTTCTACAATAGTTGTAGAAGCCTTATTTGAAAAATCTGGAATCCCTGGCTTTGCTCACAGAGATAGATTCATAAATATTTTAAATGGGTTAGCATGGTAAAAATTGCAAAAAAGCCCAATCACATCTTTCTTTAATGGTCTCCACAAGTGTAAGTGTCTGGAGAAAACAGTAATCATGTTTAAATGTCTTTTGTCACTCACTCCCTCTGGTTGAGTGTAAATTCTGTGTATGGTGCTGCCTCATTCAGTGTGCTCTGTGGGTCACACTGTGTTCTCTGCCACACATGACTTTAATTGTTCGACTTGGCACTTTAAGAACATGTTTGCCTTGCTAAGAAGAAGTAATTAAATTCAATATTTAATTCGAACCTTACGCATGATATTTTCTAACTTGAAGTTTTTGGAATCCTTTAAATGTGGCCTTTGTATTCCAGGGAAAAAAGAAGCCTTATTTGAAATTCTTTTGACTTTTGACTCAAGACACTGAAAGATAAAACCTCTGTGTCTTAACCCCCTCTCTACAGTAAAAAAACTGCAAGTCAGCTTTCTGATTTTTTTTCCTTGTTTCTTGTTTTGCAGCTGCGTAGAAATTCATGATTTTCTAATAAAGGGGCTGTATGTCTGAAGTTAGTCTCTGGGCAGGACTCTTTATAATATATGTGTGACCTGGCCTGGAATAGAATTCCATTTATTGCCATTACGTTCACAATTGCTACCATATCTGTAAATAACATGAGAATCATATGAGCACTCCTTCAGCTGATTGTAGTCATTTTTTTGTGTGTTGTTTTTAATGATATCATCATACCTACTGGACCAGGATCACCAGACCTAATTTTCACAGGACATGTGGTTTCATTCCCAAAGTCCCCTCCTGCAACCATCTGCCAAATTAAAAAGGGGACATCTTCTGTGACACTATTGATGTATCATATTGGAGTGTAACTGCACTAGTCCCTAAATAGGTCATGTTCACTAGGCAAAACATTTTCTAAAAAAAAAATAGGAGCTCTCCTCCAGCAGACTGGTGTTTCTGTTCAACTCTTCTTGCACTGACAGTTAAAGCAAAATGATTTCACAGGAACTATTTTCCTACTTACTATGGGACATTAAAAATCTGTAAAAAGTCTTTCACTCACATTGGATCCTTGACTTTGAGTGTTATCCCAGATGGAGCAGCTGTTAGAGTAATCAGGTACATAGTCTTCAAAATGACTGACACCAAAAAGTTTATATAAAAAGGTTATTATGAATCTGAGTGTTATAAATCTTAGATTTTTTTTCTTGCTTTCATGTTCTTTCTACTGATCTTAATCCCATTTTTTTACTTTTGTGGTTTTCGTTCAGGTGTTAGTGAAGTGAAATAAAACAAGTCATGCCAAACCTTTTATTCGGGATTTTGATGGCTGAGAATGACTATATGAGGAAGGACTCTCAAATAATATGCACCCTACTATTGACATTTGATTTCATTTTGGTACGGTCCTTTTCAGCAAGAGTTTCCATTCATTTTTTGAAAATCAGCTCAGTTTCAGTAAATGTAGAATGGTGTTTCCTAAGGTATTGCTAACTTTATTAAATTGATTTCAATTATATTATTTTTGTTCAAGGTGTGTATAGTTGTGTCAGCTGTTAATTCACGGGGTTTTCTTATAAAATAGATGTTTGTGAATTAATCTTCTAATAGTGGAAGAAAATGTGCAATAGGTTAATGTTTTAATAAATGCTCTGCTTTAGTGTTCTTCATTGAAAAGAAGCCAGCACTATTCTTCAATATATTAGAAAACTAAAACACAGAACCAAACTAGCACCTCAGAAAGGTGTTTTTGTCAAAACAGATTACATTAGTGTTCCATTCTTCTCTTTTAAAAGTGCTGAAGTTAAAATGGCCTCTGTGTTCTATCTCAGAAACTGTACCTTTAGGAGAGAAATGGTGTTTATCACTTACAGAATCTGCTTTAAGAGCCTTTAAGTTAGTGAATGAGTTTTGTCACTTAAAACCATGTCAGGAGTTTGCAACAAATAACTCAGGCTCCAGGCCTCCAGTAAAGCGCCCAAACTTCCAGGGAATCCCTGTGGCCAGAAGCACATTAGGCAGACTGGCCTGGAGGTGGCAGGATGCACGATCCAGGAGGAGGCCTGAAGGTGGCTGAAGCAGTCAGCTGCCCGGGTCAGTGTAGTCTGGTTGTGTCAGCCGCACACAATAAGCAGCAGCAGCGTGGGGGGCTGTGCCCAAAAGCTCTGCCAGCCCAGGCCTGCTGCCTCCTCTGTCCTGTCAGCCAGCAGGAATCCCTCCGCAGACCTGCAGCCGTTAATAATCATGTCACACAGCTGTCTTGCTCATCATTAGGGCTGTAAAAAATCCCCGTAATGACTCCCTTTTAACGCAGGTGCACAAGATATTGAGATTAGTCAAAGAACAAAAGATTCCATGTTGAACATTATTTCTGAAGGATCATTTTATTTGCTGTTCATCATAAAAATAAAATAATTTACTATATGAGCTTGCTCTTTATTTTGTTTTATTGTGTTAATGTCTAGTTGTGGGTGCCTCAAATGCAAAGATTGTAGTTGCCGTAGAAGCTGACCTAAATTGACCACAATGGACCACGCTGGTTTAGGTTTAGTGTCAGTGCTAAAATTACATTACATACTGTATAACTTAAAAAAACAAAATGCTATTGAACTGTTTGTTTTATATACACGAAATATTTTGTATGAATTTGGACTCGAGAAATACAAGCACTAAGCCATAACAGACTTTTCTGCAATAAGACAGTGCTTTCCATTCATAAAACAAGAGTTCGCAATCCTTGCCATCGTGTTCTTTAACCTGAGAACAGAGGCACGCTTCAGCGGGAAAACAGAAGATAGAAAAGTCTGACAAAAGAGAGAAACCCAAGCTTTCAAAACAAAGCACTACACACACAAAGATTCAATCAAAGGCAGGCATGCGATATACACTGGATGAAAACTCCTGTTTTCATTCCCGTGGAGGTTAGGATCTAGCATATCTCTAAAGAACGGCAGATGTATTGCGACATGTGCCCCTGCAGCAGTGCCTCAAGTTCTGCGTGCAGATAAAGGTTTTGTATAGTCCTAAATCTTGCCGTTATTATCCCTGCCATCTGTCCTGTCTAAATTAGGCAGCTTGCTAGCTCAGACCCCTGACCAGGTGCTAGGGCTTGCCTGGACTGGTACAGTAATTGTGCTCTCTGATTGCTGTCTAATTGTTAGGTCATTGTAGTAACAGTTCCTAAGCTGCAGCAGGCATTGCCTCATCCTCTGAAGACAGTCAGCGGATGTTTTCTTTCCAGACGTTTCCTCCTTTGCACAGAGCTCTACATAATGAGCCTTGTCGAGTGCCGGGGTGCAAACAAGTCCTGGAAAGATGGATTGAAGCGGAACTTTTCCATTGTTGTGACAAACAACAACGTGACAGAAGTACTAAGGAATCAAGCATTATTTTCCTTACTGTGGTTAAGCCTCAGCTCTGTTTAAAATGGATGCTTCTTCCAATTTAACATGGAGACCTCCCTAAAAATATGTTGGGTTTTTGTTGGCAATTCAAAACATGTTTTGCACTTTCAGTTCAAAAATCAGATTCTTAAAAACCCATTTCTCAGGTGTGCAATATGAGCAGGTCTGTCTGTATGAACCTGCTTAGTCAGACTACTGGAAACCCCTGTGCAGTTGGTTTACAGGTATTTTTTAATGCTGTAGTTTGTTTAGTGTGGTGACAGCCTACAGTTTTGATTATCCACATTTATTATTATGATCATACCCCTGTGATGCCAGCAGTAGGTCTGATCCCAGAAGATTCACAGTCCCATTTCTCTCCTGTGATTTGCACGTCTCTTTCTGTCTCTGCCTGATGTGTTGTCTGCTTTGCAGGTGATCTCAAGTGACCCGTTCTGGGTGCCTACCACAGAAGAGGAGTACCTGCACTTTGGGGAGAAGGCAGACTCTGAGAACCAGGCACGCAAATACATGAATGCTGTTCGCAAGCGCAAAGGGCTGTATGTGGAAGAGAAGATTGTGGAACATGCAGAAAAGCAAAGAACTCTAAGCAAAAACAAGTAGCCCCACTCAGCATGGGCCCTAGGCAGCATGGAACAGTGGACAAATAGGTATTAAATGAGACAACACCCCTTATTCACAAGAATAGAACAAGACTGAATCTGGTGTGGAGGATGTCACCCCAGGTGCATTATAGGCATGACACTCAGAACAAGTATTTCCATCACTAAACCTATTTATGACTCACATCCATTAACATTGTTGTGAAAATAATAATTTAAAAATACTGGTGTTTGAATGTTTGCCTAATTGCTTCTTTATTTTAGGCTGGTTCATTATTTTGATTGCTTTTTTTGCCATTCATGTGAACAAGGTGCACCCAGCTAGATATTTCAGGATGAAATTTAATGTTTTTGTATTGCTGCTGAAAGGCTGTATGGATCTTAGAACTCTGACCACTGGCTAGAAAGAGTCAAGTCCATGATGGTCATTAATAAACCACGGATGTTACACCAGAGTAGACACAATTCCTCTGTCAGCGGACTGCAGTTACTTGAATTGTGTTCTTAGTTTCTTCCAGCTGCAAATATTTATGGTCGATTTTAAAGACTGGATGTAATTTGACAAACAGGAACAGGAGACAAAAAACAAAACAGAAATCACTTGTTTCAATTATAACCAAGAAAAGGAACCCTTTATCTCCATTTTGCATGTTACGGAAATGAGGGCCCACAATGGAATAACCCCTTCATTTATGAAGAAGGGCGGATATTCATGGCCTGCACAAGATGGATGCAGTTTGAGTGTATGGTATTTCGTACCCCTGTGATCAGATGCATCACCTACTGTTTGAAGCAGGCAAACATGAAATAAATTTGCAACATTCAGAAACAGAAGTTTGTCCCACCAGCACTGACTCTTGAATGTGTTTAATCTGTTGTTGCACTGAACAGTATCACTACAGAACAATATTTCTCACCCTAACTGGTTAGACATGCAACACTGTGCGCATTCTACCTCATTGATCACTTTCCCTCATCTTAGTCCTGGAGCTCAGTGTGTGAGAAGTGCTTCTTGGTAATTGACCCCAGTGTCCTGTTGAGTTAATGGGTTGACTTTTGCAGAACCAATATGTTTCAATCACACACACACAAAAAGACCAAGTCTATCTGATGGCTGTGCTCCCATTTCATTGTGAACTGCTTGGTAACATTGAACGACAGATCGTTGAGTCATAAAATGACAGATATAATCCAAATTTGTTTTGTTTTTGTGAGTAAAATATTACCTTTCCTTAATGGTTTGGGTGACTGTACAGGTTTCTGAGGAAGAAAAAGAAAAGAAAAGCTTTCAGTTCTCACACAGTTGCAAATAAATTTGTTTATTTTGTCCATTGAACCACAGAGAACTATTGATGAGATAGCTTAACCTGCCCTGTGGCTAATGTCTTGACTCTTCTGGCCAAAGCAGGGACATTAAAGAGATGGGAGATAATTATCCTGTTAAGGAAAACAAATAAGAAGAGTCAGTTTCAGTGCCTAGACGGAGAATAGCACTGCCTGCGAGTATTAAGTGTAATGTGAAACCAGCACAGAGGTCAGACACACAGGGGCCGAAAGAGCCTGATTGATTATTTGTAATGTCCGCATTGATTGTCAGGCCAGGTGTCCAGCAGTGAACAGCAACTCTCAACTCAAGGGACGCATGGAAGAAAAGGGGTAACCTCGGTTCAAGTTTACACAGCGACAGGCGAGTGGTTTTTCTAACCCAAGCTCCTCCCTGCCAGAGTGGGTATCCTGTGGCTGAGTGGTGATTGACTCGCTGCTTTACTGAGCCCCAGGCAGCTGTGTCACTGAGTGGAGCTCCTTTTAAGGTGGATACTCTTATTTGCCACTGAAAGTCAGGAAACCTTGACAAGCTTACCCCAACATTTTGTTATTTGTTATATTTGTTTTCATCTACTTTAAAACTGCTGTTAGGGATGTTTTGTTTGTTCTTCTTGTATTGGTCTAAGAAAATACACTGTATTTTGTAGGTTGCTTCATTAGCCAAAGCAAAATGCATTTTTTGTAACAACTGCATGGTGCATATGGGAAAATAATGTGGGTTCATTTCAGCCTTTTCTGTCGTAAGGCACTGAATAGCATAATCCACTTAAGAACAGCATATTCCCCCTGCTGTTCAGAAGCCCTTCATTCTGTCATTTGTAAGACAAAAGATTGTTCCACCTTAAAAGACTGAGGGGCTGTGATTGAAGCAGACGAAACATTAGACTTGCTACAGGGAGTCTGTGCATACATTATTTATGAATCTGCTGAGTGGTGTCTGGAGAGGAGGCTCATGGGAAATGGTTGAATTGCACACCTTCTGAAACATTAGTCAGGTGTGGTTGGGTCCCTGGTTAGGTCTAGAAAGGCATCATGAAGCCCTTAAAACCTTGCTGTTTCACTAATGTTGTTATTCAGCTAGTACTAAAAACACATTTCTTAGTATATTTCTCAACACCACATATTACCAGGTACATATTAGTCAACATACAATCAATATGCATGATTTATATTAATGGTAACAACTTGCTGTTACAGTTCTTACACCTAAATCTGCCAGAATTGATAACTACTTGTGAACAAGTTTAGGTTTTCTCACAACAGTGCCTTAATATGAGCAACATATCAATATCAGTACCATGTTACATACTGTTTATTATGTTTAAGTCACAGACTACACTTTGTCTTTGTCAGTATACACTACATAATGGGGCATTCACATTCCGAATTATGTTAATGCCACAGAAGATCAGCTTAGATTTTGAAGACTGGCCCTCAATCGGAATGCCTTGGCCCCCTCCCAGCCCTTGAATCTGACCCAGAGGGAACATTGCTGTGTCCAGGAAATTGAGCTGACAACCAAACAGATTTCTTTCCCAAAGACCATAATCTGTTTCGTGCCTTCAGAAGTTTTAAGTAGCCAGTATCCTTGCTGTTGATGAGAAGTGAGTTCCTGTGACTTTTTAATTACTTATTTTTTTGTTTCTTAATCCAATTAAAACTGTAAGATGTCTAAGCTCAACTTCGGATGTACCCACATGCATCATTGTGTTTTTTTTTGGAAACCGTGATGCTATGGTTCTGCTCCTTAGGGAAAAGGACAGTGTAGTTTAAATGCATTTTCAGTTGCAATTCAGACTGGACTATTGGTGTTCTCCTAGCTGTGTCTCATTGTTACCACAGCCCAGGCACTGAGTTAATCACATGCAGCACACTGTGGTGGACAAAGGCTGGCTCTGGCAGATGTATTTCCGGCAGATTTTTATTTTCGAAAGTGGCCCCTGGTCAGTGGGAATTTTTTAGGTACTGTGAGATGACACTCATCCAACTTCTCAAACCCACTTCACTGCCAAGTCCAACAGTGCCCAGATACATCAAAGCAGCCTCAAATAAAAACATAATAAATGGAAAAACCTCTGAAAATGAATCTCTGCTTTGCTTTTACTACTTCCACCATCCAAAAACAAAAGGAAAAAAATGAAAGAATAGAGAAAACTGAGGTGCAAGGGAGGTAAGAGAACCTTTATTTATCTGCATCACAGGTGCAGGTCAAATGTTAGCTAAACCCAAGAAAATGAAAAGAGTTGTCCCACTGTGAAGATAACAGCCAACCATCCTTACAATGGCTATGTTTGGCTGCTTAAAACAAACAATATTTCCTCCTAGCTGAATTATTGCCTGAACTGACAGTGCTCTCCACTCCCTTTTGTGTTTTAGCTCCTCTCATCCCTTTTTCCCTCCTTCAAAGAGGAAAATCTGAGCAATAAAATTAATTGCTATTGTTGTAAAGTTTCTTCCTCCAAGGAAATTCTCTCTGGCATTACCTCACAGCGGTCTGTTCTCTCATTACTAAAATCACAACATTCACGACCGGCCTAGTGAAGAAGGAGAGACCATGAGCGACTGTGGTCAGGCTTATTTGGCAGGAGGATCACTGTTACAGCAGATGCTTGCGTTTTTTACAAAGGATTTTTTGTCTGTTACTTCCAGTCCCCCAGGGGGCCTCACCTTTGACCTTTGCCTCAACCCAGCAGGCTTGTGTTTCCGTTATTTTACATATGGTTTATTCTAGGATTCCTTTGTCTGCTTTCTTCCACCAGTGATTAATTAAGAATCACTGGAATCATGCTGAGACAATTGGCTGCTAATGTCCTTTACAGAGCTTTTTGTACAGTTCCTCTTCTGAAGTCCATTTCAAACAACAAAACAGAATGCAAAGTCTTAAAGTGCACCCTCACTCATGAGGGTATTTCCCCAGATATTGTGGAGGTTGCTGGACAGTCAGGAGCCTCCATTCTCTCTGAGTAGTTATCCAAAATACAGTATTGAAATTTTTACATTTTGTTCCTTAGTCATTCTGCTTCTGCAAAATGTGCAAAATCATCTGCACAGCCGACATCTACCACTTTTCTTAACTGCTCTTTCCTAGGCTGGCCCTGGAGGTCTCACAAGTCAGAAACTAATTGTGGAATCAGCAGACAAGGCCACAGGATGGCTAATCTCTGGAGGCCATAAATAGTGAAGCCTTCCATTAAAGGAACATTGGGTAACAAAATTATCAGAAGGTTTGTGTTTTAATGACTGTGAATTACGGTAAATGTTATTGAAAGATGGAGGGAGGGGGATGGCACTGTCATGGTCCCATTGGGGTTCTTGTTGTTCTTCCAAACACAACTTCCTCAGCAGTGGACCAGCTTGTGTTTCTATAAAGCCAGAATCAGGCTGGTTAGTATGTACGCCTAGCTGTGGTAATGATGGCATGTGTGCTTAGTGTTGGCTCTCCCTGCAATCAAACCCCATGAAGAACAAACCACCAATTCTGTAGAAAGTGTTTTCTTAAGTAGTTGAATAACATAACACAGGACCACCATATGTCACTGAACAACAGGGCAAAGGAATTGTAAACAGTCTTACAAGAGCAGTCTGCACAGGGAGACATTTCTAAGTGCTGTGACTCTAAACAGCCATCATGTGCAGAGGAACAGAGGAATCTTTCCTAGCACTGAGTATATCCAGGTTTGTATTATTGTCACCAAAAGGATAAAAATGAATGTTAATGAAAAGTATAGGTGTAACTGTTGCACATCATTGTGAGAATAACATATGATGTTCATTTGAGCTTGCATTAATACGAAGACAGACCACACGTTATTTATTACACAACACGTTCTTCTGCAGGCACTCCTGTGGTGCCATTGACCATATTACAACTTGCAGGTAAAAAATGAGCATTTGGAAGCCAGTTGAATTTCCTTATACTTAAATGACCTCTTTATTTATTTTGTGATGTGTGTATATGAAAACCACCCATACCTTTTTAAAACATGGGGATTTAGTGACATTTGTAAATGTCAGGAAAACCACAGGAGAGAACCATTTCCTTCTGTGTCACAAGTGGGGATGGTTTTAAACCATCAAGGCTTGCTGTCCTATTTATAGAACAATCACATTGGGTGCATTTTGAAAAACAATGGGCTTTT